CCGTTTTGATGGTACGTGTCATGCGTTGCTACGAAGTTACTCCACAGAATTGGCTGAGATAACTGTAAACAAGATAAAATAATTACAGCTGTAATCTGTATAAGTCGCAACTTTTTTATGCATGATTGATAGCTAGATAAAAATTAATTCGATGAATCTCTTTATGCAATAATAATAATGAGAGATTAGACATTGCTGGTATACTTTCTTATTATTTAGTTAATATTAATACGACAATTTACGTTACCATATATTGTCGTAATTTTTACGTATTAAAGTGTTTTCGCATGTTGTTTACATTACATTATAATTATGACGAGCAAGAGTCACACACACAGCCACACATTCGCGTGCGCGCACGCGCATATACACATACGTACATCGTGTGCTACAATTTCTGGCGCAATATATATGCTCATTCGTCAATTTATAGATTAAATATTCATGGAAATATTATACGTTTTATGATGCAATGTAAAAGCTATCGAGGGTTGCAGTATTTTTGTTCTGATTAATACGGATACTTACGTAACGTAATCATCCTAATCATCCTAATCATTTATTCGATGCTTATTATCATACGTAATCAGGATTTTATTTAGGGGGAGAGCAAATTAGATTTGAAACTTTTGAACTCGAGGGGGGGATAGTCGAATGATAGAGATTATTAAATTTATTTTATTTCATATATATTATTATTTTTAGTCAATTTACTTACTAGCAGGTAAAAATCACAAAATTACACATATTTAATTTATTATATTTTTCTTTTATATATACAGTTGTAAACTGATTCTTTGGAACTAGAAAAATTTAAATTTATAACACTAGCCGTCTTGGATTCTTCGAAAATCTTTCTATAATATTCATCTCCAATTCTATCTCCTTTTCTAAAATTAATTTCTTGCAAATAGTCATTAAAAGGATTCTATAGTCGTCTGTTTCACCGACTACACGCAATAATTTTTGTGTCGTAATTTTTTTTATAGATTTAAAAATCTTTTTTCAGAATTAAAGTATACGCATTAATCATATCTATGAGATGCAGGTTATATTGAGAACGGAAAAAATTTTTTAAGTAAGGTCTTTATCATTTTTTATCCAATATAGCATCGAGCTATCAACATCGCGACAATATTTGCTTGATATAAAAGCTTTGCAATCCGTACTGAAATAGTAGTTCACAGACTAGAGTTTACATGAATAAACGTTGTTAAATTCTTAGAATTAGACTCAGCTACCTAATTTGATACAAAAATGCGTTACGAAAATTTGTGGGTATGTGTGTAAATTCTGTTGAATCGATAAAACAGACGGCTTTAGAATCCTCTTAAGGGAATGCCATATATTAGAATGCGCGAAGCGAGGGTCGAACTTGATCGATGTCAATAAAACAAATTCTTAATTCCAAATAAAACATTACGTATATTAAGTAAAACATTATGTACATTTCTTGTTCTTCTTATACAGGGTGTCTCTGTATACAGTGCCAAAACAGCGGTTTCAGCATATGAAAATAAGTCGAAAATGTCTAATAAACATATGTTCGATTCCAAACGGTTTCGGAGTTACGGGATATTGAAGTAAAAAAACATAAATCGTAGTAAATGTTATTTAATGTTCGTTAATCTGTTGTTCTGAATCCTGAATTTTTTTTCTGATAGACGGGACGCAGCCTAGATCTTTCATTCGTCCCCAAAATGTCAACACGTTTCTCCGTAATCACTATCCTCATTGGATTGGAAGAGGCCAGGATCTCTGGACGCTCTTATTAAATGGCTAGCGAGAAGTCCCGACCTTACATCATTGGATTTTTTTTCTTTGGGGACGAATGAAAGATCTAGTTGAGATCTTTCATTCGTCCCCAAAGGAAAAATATCAGAATGAGATTCAGAATGCAGAACAATTATGGCAACTGATATTTAACGCTGCCGATATCATCCGCGATACTCCAAATATTTGTCATTAAGTTCGAAACAATTTATTAATTCGTGCTAGAAAGTGTGTCGAAGTCGACGGAGAATTTTTGAATTGTTTTTGTAAAGCATTAAATATAAGAATTAAATTAAAGAATAACGAACATTAAACAATATTTACTACGATTCATGTTTTCTTCAATATTCAAGAACTCCGAAACCGTTCGGAATCGGACATATGTTTATTAAACATTTTCGACTTGTTTTCACTCTGTATATCGCATGAATACTAGATTATGTACACTCAAATCGTACTTTTCCATTCACCGTACTTCTCTTGTAAGTTTAAAAATCATAATATGAAGCTCTCATTATATTCTTATACATTATTCAAATGTGAGGAAAGTATTTTTTATTTGGATATGTACTTGGAATCATTTATATCATGTTTCGTATAGTTTTAAAAAGCTGCTTTTTTCAAATTACTGGAAAAAAACCGGAAAAATTTCGATTTTTTTCAGAAAAATTGGTTTTTTGGAAAAATTGCTGTTTTTGCTATGTATAAGACATAATAAGTAACTTCTAAATTCTTTTATAAAATTAATGCGATCTATTAAATTATATAGCATTATTTTTATTAAAATTTTTTAATTATCCTTTTTTATAGTAAAACCTAATCTAACCTTCCTTTAGTACATGACAAAGTAGTAGACAGATTTTTAACTCTAGTTTGCCACACTCCGGTCTAATGAACTCCTGAAGTGTCTTTTTGTAGTTTATTTTTTTTCAAATATTTTGTTACGAATTCAGTTTAAATCCAAATTATTTTCTAGACCTACTATCATATAAACATGATGTTTGGACTCTATATTTTTAATTCTTACATTAATGATGCAATAGTGTATGTTTTGTATGTTTTATTGAATACATTATGTGGCCTCCATCTTTTATACAATTTCAAAATTTCTGTTAACTTATCCCGCTGTATACCCTATACGCAATTACTTTCTTTACGTTAAGAACCGAGAAGCAAACGTAGTAGGTTTTATGAGCACGCGTAAATTTTTCTAAAATGAATTTTTCTACCCTTGGAAAAAAAATCGAAAAAATCCGCGGAAAAATTGGAAAAATTGAGTTTTTTTCCGATCCTTTAAAACTATATGAAAAAATAACTTATGAAGAAATAAGTGGTAACAAGAAATTGTAATTTACACTTTTTTTATCTTTCATACAAGTTTGTAGTTTCCCCACAGCTATTTGGGTTTTTTCTTTTATTTTAGAGAAGAATTTTTTATTCTTTACAAGGAAAATGAAGAAAATGAAAAAGTTCGAAGTGCGCGTTTCAGACGACTGCAACATCCCCTTAAGCGGTTTTAATTATTTTTGTTCTTTAAAATCCACTTTACATCTATAATTCACGACAGAATTTGAAACAAAATTCTATCTATAACTTCAAGTATAAATCAAATTATAAATATAATTACCTATAGATGAGAAAAATTTCTTATATTACAAAAAATACGATATTGAATACGTAGGACAAGTTGTAATTTATGTCAATTATGATGGATAAAACCTGTTTGCCTATCTAATTGGATACGACTCTATTCATAGCGCTTATAGATTTTCTCAATTTTCATTATCCCATCATATACAATCGATCAATTACGAGTATTTATACCGAACGCATGTTTAATGCTTTTATATTTATAAAAATAGAGCATGATACTTACAAATTTTTAATTCTGATTATTCACATTTTCTATATTACACGATGCATAAAAGTATAAATAGAATTCTGTCTCGAATTCTATCGCAAATTATACATCGTCTAAAGTAAGCTTAAGATTTAGAAGGAGCCTTTTCTCTTGATTACGCTCATGCTTCTTGTCGACCAACAAAACAAATGAATACCTACCGGTTGGAGTGTGAAGTTGCCGCGTCAGTCGCGATTACCAGAAGCCCAACGTCAGTGCGATCGAAGGCGATCGAAGGTCGATAGTTTGTGAAGCGGTCGGACGAGTGTTTATCATCGCGAAAGAGGGGCTATCGCGTGAAAGACGTTAGAAATATCACTGTCACAATATCGAACGAGTTACGCGACATTACCCGGCAAATACCGAATAACTTACGCGACATTAAACGCGCGACGTACGTATGTACGTACCTACGTCCTACGTCGGTGACATGGCGAGACGAGTGTCGAGAGATGCGCGGCTCACACGTCTACGACGTAGGAAAGGTAGGTGCTAAGCGATCTCGCTTCCGGCTTCCCGGAGAGCTCGTTGCGAAGTGTATTTATCATCGCGTTGTAAATTTCGCCCTTCGTAAAACGGAAACACGATTCGCGCGCACCGCGTCACGGTCATCGGCGCGTTACTTAAACAAAAAAAAAAAGAAAGAAAAGAAATAACGCGCGCGGAAGCCGTTTACTCGCTCGCGCGCTGGGCACACTTCGCGGAGCGCCTCGGCCCGCCTCGGGAATCTTCGGCCGGGCTCGGGCGAGCGACCGGCGCGCGCCCCATGCCCCACTCGGCGCTAGCTTCGTTCAGTACCCGTCGTGCAGTCGTCGTCAGTTGTCGCGTCTTTATCCCTACCATGGTCGGCTGAGCGAAAAGTCACCCTCGGCTTACCGGCCGCGCGTACTTGATCGCTTCCAAGTTACCTATGCAATTTGTGCGACGAGGCGCGAGAAATCGAAGCGAGCTGTTTTCACTGAAATTTCAATCTGGCGACAGTACTTACGTCGTATCTCGCGGAGTTCCGTGGTGGTGAAAGTGTCCGCGATTAGTTCCTTCAAACTGTCAGGTATAAGACCGACACAATTCGGAAGCGCGAAAACAATGTTGACCCGAATGATTTAAAGGTACTGACCGCGCGCTCCGAATTCGCAACAAGTTGCAGGAGTGTGCATTCTTACGATTTCTTCGTCTCTTCTCCGTATCGTCTTTACGCGTGTGTGTGCGTGGGTTTCGTGTGTGTTCCGTGATCGAGAGGATTAATACGGTGATGGCCCTGTGAGAGAAGTCGTCGTTCTCGACGATGGTAATCGAACCTTCGAACGTGGAACGGACTGTAGTGACGGGCGATCGCATTCGGAAGGAATGTCGTGTGCTGTGATTGTTATCTTGTCCAAGGATCTTCTGCACGGTAAGATTGTGTTATTTCTTCTTATTTTTCTCATTTTCGCCAAGATTGTACAGATCGCATAATAATGATCGCGAGACATAATCGATAGGAAACGTTTCGCGAGAAGGGACCAACAGTTTGTGTAAACGCTCGTAACGTCAGTGGACGATATTCGGTCGAATGATCAATATAGCATGGTTAATGCTTTCCACACAAATAAGTGAGAGCTTATTTAGTAATGATGTTGATTATCAGTTGACTAGACCGTTTACCTCGAATCCGTAATCGTATATTACGGGGATATATGCTCCAAATGGTAATTTTTGAGGATACGTATTTTGGAGCAACGTGAAGTTTGCACTTTATTACTTTTAGTTGTATGATATTCCACGGAGAAAAATGTAAAGTAATAAAAATTAGTAGATTTTATGAAATTGACAAGTATATAGAGACAGACGTTTATTTACTTTATAAAATTTATTTTTTTGATAAATGAGTGATCGTCGTATAGCTATATTTTAAGGTACTTTTTACGTTTTGTAAAATAAATTTTATGCTGCAATAAATTTTATGATGCTGCAATTTGTTATTATTTTTTAATTTATAAATTATCATACATCTCAATAGAATTTACTTTATTAACAAGTATTTTTTGTCTTAATGACAAGATTTACTTTACTGCACGGTGAAAACTATAAGTACGTAAAGTCTTGTCGAGTGGTTGTGTTTACAGTCTTGAGAATAACATGATTTGCTTTACTGTAAAGTAAAAATTACTTGAATGGATTTACTATAATTATAACGTATTTTTTTACCTTACATCTCCGGCATTTTTTACTTTTAGGTAAGTAAAGTCTGTCATGTCATAAGTTTAGTAAAAATAACCAGAATATTTTTACGAAACTTGTAAGACTATCCATTTTACTCCATGTGGTATCTTAACTCTTTAATATATGATTTTTCGGTCCTTTACACACGATATGTCATTCGTGTCTCGGGTTAATTTTCATCACTTCAACAAATATGCAAAAATGTTAATGTTCGTTTCTACCGGTGTAGTTTAATTTTTTAATCTTGGTTCAACTAAACTGTTTATCTTTTTCTAATTCTAAAAATTAGAAAATATGAAAAGTAAGTTGAACTGAGATTAAAGTTCTACATTTCTTACATATACTTTGACATCTTTAGAAAGTAATTACAAAGTTGTGTATTTAAGAAAATTGTATATAAGTGTTACAACTAATTACTTGATGCTCCAAATTTTTCAAAAAAAAAGGAGTGCAGGACACGAATAACTCAATCGTGTGTGTACTAAGGTTTCCGAAATTATACTTCTTGAAAGTAACTTTTTAATATTGATTTCTGCTAGTTTTATTTAGTGTATATTGAATATTTCTGGAATTAAGCTAGAAATTGAAATGGAATATTCGGATTCTTCTAAAATTAAGTTGTATTAAATTTATCTTTCCTGTTATAAAATTTAAATATATATGTATATTTTGTTGAAATATTGCTAAAGTTTTGAAATACATTATTATAATATTGCTAATTATGAATACATCGTATTAAAATATACATGTGTGTTTAAACGCATACGCATATGTATATTTTAATATTTGTAAATTTAAATCTACGCATACATTTAATACATTAAATTTATAACAAGAAAATTAAATTCTCTTTATTTTAATATTCTTTTTTTTTTTTACAAAAACTGTCTCTTTGAAATATTCGAATTTAATTAATATATAAACATATTTCATTTATTTTGCTTCTAAAATTTTGCAGTAATATCTTATTATTTCGGCTGTGCGCGAACTCAGAGATATTCTACAAACAGAACAATATTACGCTGAAATTCAGTGAAGCTTACTTGAAAAGTGCTCTTTCGCGTATTTTTACACATATAAGATTCAACATGCTGTTTAAATATTTCTTAACAATGCAGTAACGTAACACAAAGTGCGTTGCTCATACGCGTACATATATACTTATCTTTCATTATTTATCATTAAAATTCTCCGTTTTCACACAATTCTGTGCTTATTTGATTTCCGTACACATTTAAAAAGCGACGATGCAGGTCCGTAATTTTTAATTGCGGTGCTCCAAATTAAAAATTGTACAGTATTTTTTTTCGCAGAGCACCACATTCAGCTTTGTTACGCTCATTAACACTACTCCTCGCTTTGCAACCTTTTCCTTTAATTTTCGTGACAGTTCCGCGATGAGCCAATTTAAAAATTTTTAATTATAACGAACAGCAATGAGGTCCATTGATCATAGTTTATGCGTGACCAGGATGGTGAATAATGAAACTATTCAAAAATATATTTTGATATTAACGAAATAAATATATACACACGATGACTGTTGTTTATTTGCAGTTAATTGACAATATGAAATCGCCATAGATATACAAATAAAATAATATTAGGTATAATTGAATTTATTCGGTGCGACATTGTTATGTTGAAATAATGAGATATTATTTACTGTCTTAAAGCGGACCATATTGCTCCGAATATGTGAATACGGAATATTGGAAATATTGTGTTATGGTATACGGAAATATCGAGTCATATTTCCTGCTTTGCCGTGTAGCGGTGTAGTTCTCTACCACTAAAATATTTATGAATAGCAATAAAATTGTATTACAATATTCGCATCATTACGCGTATGAAGTGCAATTGTAACATCACGTATCTCGAGACTTTCCGTATAATATAGTTTTAAATTAATTTTAATCGTGTCACATTGTTTCTTGACACTTGCCACCTCTCGTTCCCATGTATCATAAATCATATGCGATTTCGAGAATAAATATGCATCTCGTCCATCACGGCGTCGCATATAAGCATCCGCTTGGAGCGACTTCGCAGTGTCGTATTCGCACTACGCTAGAAGAATTTTAATCTTTGTAATTTTCATGTTAAATCTGCGCGTTCACACATCTTTCTTCGAAAAGATCCCTTTCGGGAGTGATGGTAGTTAACATGCGATGTAACGATCAATCGGATGCGATAATGTCGAGAACAGTTACACAGACGTATTACACGGGACTTAAATTGGGTGCTTGTCACTCCTTGACTGGCAATTTTCTCGAAAAAGGCGCGCGTTGCCAGTCACGAAAACAATTTATGCCTTTGTGATCGGAAAGATGAAAGAATCTCCTATAAAAAGCTGGCGCGTCACGTTAGAAATTATACCTGATGGGGAAACGATGATCTTGAATATAACTGTTGTTTCGTCCCTTTTTTGGTCGCATTTTTAAATCTGATTTGTTTCTCAATATATTAATCGGCACGACTTGATGTTTGATATGATTTGCCGGAATATAATACCATTAAAGGATGTTTTCCAGCAAGGACATAGTCAGACACTGTGTTACACACCCAAATTGTAATAAAATTCACGTTATTTATACATTTTTTTTCGACAATCTAAACAACAGAATTAATCTAATTTTGCCTCGCTTGATAAATTTAATTTTAGTTAAAAACTACTTGTAATATATTATTACTTGTAATAAACGATAATTATGTTTTTATTATTAGTTAAATTATATTTCTCATGACATAAAATATAGATTTGTTTTATTTATTCGATTAATAAATTATTAAATTTATTTAATAAATTAATTAACAAATAGGCACTTGTATATTTATTATTGCATAGTTAAACTTTTAGTACCACTACTTCTTGTTCAAGATTGATAATGCTTTCATTATTTATTTTGTTTACAGAAACATTTTATTAAAATAACAAATGGTCTATCTGTGTTGATGATTCATTCAATTAAATGGAATGAATTAAATTTGATTAAATTAAATACAAGTTAAATATGAATTTATTATTGGATTATGGATAAAATAAAGCGAATGCTTTCACTCTTATTTATAGACGACAGAATTTTTAAAAATCTAAATGAGATATTGAAACATTTAAGTTTGCATTCACTGATATGAAGTTTCAAAAAACATGAACCAATATAAATACTAAAGCTTGAATTGTTCTTTATATATATTGATAGGAAAGTTAATATCCATATTTCGATAACCATTAGATTTATAAATACATATTTTACGTACAAAAATGTCGACTTTGTAGTAAAAGTCAAGGATTATTTAGATAAAATGTATATACAATATATTTTTATTTCATATATTTCTATTTTAAAATGAATATATTTTTGTTTATTCGAAATATTTACAAAATACGAGAAGTGCCATTTACAGTCAACGTTAGATATTAAACTATTACATATATACGTATTTTAAATGGATTTATCTCAGAAATAAGAACTTATTACGAAAAATATTATCTCAACCGAAATTATATTTTTCACAATAAATTCTTTACAGGTTTTAGTTTTACGATGCTTCTAACTAAATTTGGTGGGATTATTAATATTTCAAATTAATTGTGTTGAAAGTCCAAAAGTAATCGATCCTCGCAGTCGTATTTAAAATATATTATGTGTATTAGTTTAAACATCTCTAACTTTGACCGTAAATATATTTAACTCATATTTAATTGATGTATTCATAGAAATAGTCTTGTTTGTAATCATTATTGAAACATTTGCTTAAAACATTTGCATCATTTGTGTCGATTTGATTCACTGATTCGTATTTGTACATTTAACTTCGTATATCGTGAATCTTCTGAAACACTCGTACATTTCGCGATCTCATATTTAATATTGCATTGTATTATTGAATCTGCATTAAATCTCATTGAAATCGATTTAATTTGAATACTAATGAGAAAAAGACAGATATAGTTTGATATGGGGGAGGGGAATCGTTATGACAACGTCGCCAGATGTTATATCGCATACGCAGTGAAACGGAATTTTCGCGGTTATTAAATTCACCTATTGTCAGTCCGGTACGTTTATAAGCGTGTAGAGATCAGAGAGAGTAGAGAAGATGGTTAGGGCTCGACCCTCGATCCTTCGGGCGGGTGACCACCGAATAATTCCATCGGTAGGTGCGTCAATGCATTTACATGGAAAT